TTTTTTTTTTTTGGTTTAGTCAAAAGGTTTACCCAATAAAATGAAGCCACGTATGGGTTTCTATTGGGTCGCGAAAAACCCAATTTTAGGAACGATCCTAAATGGATTGTTCTGTTTTTCTTTCATCTGGGCCCATTTTATTTTAGAAACTCAACATAGAAACCCACTAAAAACCCTTGCTGGACTTGGTCTAAGACCCAGTCAACTTTGACACGTGAGTTCCCACACGTGTCTCGTAAACATTCTCTATAAACCGCACGATAAGATATAAAGCATCACGAGACTCATAATTAGGATTTTTCCTCAGGGCACACGAGAACGTCCACACACCGAATCACTATTTGTTTTTATATGATTGTATCTTTAACGTCCTTAAAGCTTTATATATGCGGAGTTCGGTAAAAGATCCGTTAGTGACACATCAAAATTCAAAATCATTCATACACATTTAGAGGCAAGGAATTTATGGGCCTTGGCTCGAACCACAGATGTTATTTTCTTAATAGCTCAGATTATAATTGGGTCCCGAAGAGCCGAATCACTAAAATAATAATGGGCTTTACTTTCGAAAATTAAAGCCCAATATCTCGAGCAAGTTAAAACGCTAAGTTGTGAATAGATGACAATGACGAAAATACCCTCAATGTTGTTACTCGAGACAAAAGAGAAATTTGGTCCGTTTTTTTTTTTTTTTTTTTTTTTTGATAATAAATTTGGTCCGTTTTGTTTTGTTCGGTTCGTATAATTTACGAACAGAGTTAAAGGTGGTTATTATTTTTAAAATTATAGATTCTTCTTTTGTAATGATCACTTCTGGTTTTCTTATCAACAATAACTAGATATTTTTTTTAATTAACGTTGTTAAAGAGAAGACACGCTTATTACATAAAATGATTTAACATGCATAAGAAGCGACACAACACACAAGTGGAGGAGAGTGTCGTGTTTAAGAAAGTGAGAAAAAATGACAAAAAATGGGGCAGTTCAACAAACAACCTTCTAAAGTTGGGCTTATAAATTGATAAACCACATACATACATTATTATAGTTTCTATCCATTTTAAAATAAAAACTAGGAGAAAATCCGGGCTACGCCCGGTTATATATATTTGGCAATAGACATTATTTAAGTAAGTTAACTTAGTTTAAATTGTTTTATATTCTTTTTCGTATGCATACAAAAGATTCATGTGTCAACTTTGATTTTGGATTAGTGCTTAAATTTAGGGAAAAATTAGATATTACATACATGATAGTGTATCATCTAGCAAATGGCGAAATTATATTTTTATGGTCGTTAGGAAGTTTACTTTGTTCACATTGGAATATAGAAATTTAAAGCATTTTGGGAAAAAAATTCAGATGAATACAAATTCGTAACTTTGGTTGAGAAAGTATAAAATTGATCATTCTTCTACTCTCCAAGGTGGAATGTTTAAAACTTTGATCTAATGCGTACTTATGGGTGTCCAAAAAAGGTCAAAACCTCAAAAATTATCTATTGTTATCTTTGTTTCGGTGACAACTTCTTTAATGCTCGTATAGTTGTTAGGGTCGAGGACTCGAGGATTCTCAAGTTAAATAGATTTGTAATTTTATAATCAAGGTATATATATAATTTCATATATTTGTCTTTTGGACCAGCAGAGAATAAGCAGATAACAAACAGTAAACTAATATCAAATTTGCTTTAGAAATCTCTATGCATCAAAAATATTATTTGCCATTACTAAACTTTTCAACGATAAATAAGAGCCATATAGATAAATTTATAAAACAGGTTTATGTATGTTAATAGGTTTTTTGATTTAAAGCTTAGAGGCTCTCGAGAACTGTATTGTTTGTATACATTACAAATCTACCTTATAGGAGCAATAACTGTCTTTGTTGTGATCCAACAAATACTATCTTTCTTTCACCTATGAAGTATGAACCACTATCCCTTACTTGATACACTATTGCACAGTAATTTTACATTTCGATGATGTGTCAAGAACGAAGGTAAAGAGATGCACAAACTGGTAGGATGGATACTCACTGCGGACACCCACACAATACCAGCATCTCTGAATTACCCAAAAGTAGGGTGTTTATCGTCAGAGCTGCTACTTCAACCTGACACATTTGAATTTTCCTGTTATGTTTTGTACATCAGAGCTGCTACGTCAACCTGTGAATGGAAACCATGATGAGCCAAAAGGAGCTCAATTAAAGCGTCCTCAACGACTTTACAACAGTGAACTTAAGGTAGGGAAACAACCAAAAATATATATACTGGAGGCTTGTTATAAGAAAATAACTTGCCTACCTACTCTACATACCTAGAGCTTACTATAATAGAGATAAGTTGACCCTTATCAAAACTTTAGTGAAAATATGGTTTCAGAAATTTAATGACCATCAAAAACCCAGTTCTCTGAACTTGAATATCTATCAAATACCAAAAACCCCACTTTTCAAGAACTAAATTCGTGAACTTGAGTATTAGGTATTAAAAATTTCAGCCATCTAAAGTGTATTTCTTATACTAATGTATTTTGAAGTTCCTAAACTGGAAATCGTATTTTTAAACATGAATGGGTTGCAATCGAGGAAAAAAAAAATTAATGTGGAAAATGACCTGATTTAGCATGATGATGCCTGATGGTGCCTCATATCCAATTTTGATAAGCGTACAATAGCATCTTCGATGGTCTTCTGTATGTGTAGATAGATGAATATCAAACATTCAAACTGTTGACCTTTTTCACTTGTATATTAGATTCTCTTTTAACTACGTTTTTAGTCCTAGCCGGCTTGACAATATCTCCTCTTGGCTCTTTATAGAACTATATTTGTGGCATAAGACAAAAGAAAACCATTGTTATACTTTCGAAATTGGAGACATAAAGAAACAGTCATATGAAATATTTCTCTAGCAAGAAGGGCGTCTATAAATATATAAGTTTATTGACAGGAAACAACAAACTTGAGCACACTTTGATTTGGTAAAGCGAATTCTCCATAACACGATTCTTTTGGGGATGTTATGGAGCGAGAGTTGGAGAAGATGAGTAACCGTACCATGAAAGCAGAAGGTAGGACGATAGTGCTTCCATGAGCTATAACATCGCTCTGAATTGTGGCTAGGGTTTTAGGTTGGGACCGATTGATATTTCAATCTCAGTGGAGATTGGAGGAAAGGATAAGGGATGAAAATGACGTCCCGAAGAGGAATTGTAGGAGGAGAGATGAAAGGGTATATGCCTTAATTTAAAGCGTTTAGATTAAGGCGACATATGAGGTAGAAGGATCGACATCCTCACCAATTATTCACGGAAGAGGGATGGTTCAGTTCTCGTAATTAAATGAAAGTTCAGAAATTAGAGAGGCTTAAACTTTTGACTTAAAGCCACGTGGCATCACTCTAATACATTTTGTTTTGCTGATGTGGATGACTTGAGAAGCTTCAATTAGCATCTTTTATTAGTAAGAGATTTAGAATTTTAATTACTTTTATTGTTTAGTAACGTACCACTTTTTAATTTTATAGTTAACTCTTCCCTCTTTTTTCGTCAATAATGTACTTCTTATAATAGTGACTAATTTATAAGTCTAAGAACGCATTTATATGAATTTAGAAAAATTAGAATGGGGTTTTGGGAAAGATAAAATGTTGACTATTGTACATTTAATCAGACAGAAGTGTATTCACGGCGACGTAGAGTGTCTTCCGGCGATTGAATATTCCAAAGCAAAAGAAAAAAATGAATTAACATTACTTTTACACTAGTTAATGTCTTTCCCGTTTTAAATTTGATAATTGAAAGCTAATTAACTAATTAAGTAAAGAAGCCTCAAATTCCGATGAGTCGTACGTGAATGTGGTTCTAGTGTCTCCCCAAATGGCTTCCTTCCATTTAATTCCGAAGTTAATTTTTACACTTGCCATCAAACTATAGCATTACTTTCTACTGCTACTACCCAATCTTTTCTTTCTTCTAGAAGATCGTGTTAATGTCTAGAAATCAAAACTAAATAATGAAGAAAACATTGAAGATAAAACAAAAATTTCGAGAGTAAAAGTCTCATTTCACTGTTAAATTTAAGATTAGACATTAACTGCGCCTAACTGATGACTAAAGAAGAGTTGATCAATTAAACAAAGTCTACACATTATATACCTAACATTCTCTGTTCTACCTAAATACATCCATTTAAGAGACACTTACCAACCTCCTACTCAAAGCTACTGTAACTGTTGTTCAATTAACCATCAACAAACATAACTCCAGGAGTAATGACTAAAAACAAAGACTCTGACTTCATATCATCATATGACTCGGAGACTCGGAGTTCATCAAAAGCATCGAAAGACTCTAAAGTACAGATTCTAGTAGAGTGTGTTGACCAAAAAATAAATAAAATCTAGTAGAGTGCAACTATGATTATGAACATTCACGCATACTAAAACCACTCGGTTACAATTAGAGGGAAAAATGATGAAACGTTACAATACGTCTTCTTATTATGATAACTTACGTGTAAATATTCATGTTTTCGGTTTTTACTCCGCATTTTGCCAAACAAATTTTGGTGGAAACGCATTTTGCTTGTCTTGTACTAGGTGAAAACAAAAAAGAGATTTGGACATTTTAACCTCTTATAATGAAACTTATCAATATAACCAAATTGTACCAAACGTATGAACGAATGATCTTTCTAGAATAGTCGATTTTACCATACATTTAATTAAATTATTAGGTTCATCCACCCAACTACAAAAAAAGAAGAAGATAATGTTGGGGTTTTAAAAAAAGAGTGAACACTAATAAAAGTTTTCTAGATTCCTTTTCTCAACTTATCTTTAAAAGACTCCAATCCAAACAAACACTTAAGAAAAAGAAACTGTCACTCAGACTAAACCTACTTCCCATGTGAATCAAAAGAAACCAAAAACCTGCAAATCCGTCCATCTTTCAATAAACAACCTCAAACTCTTTAAACGTTACTTAAAACTTGTTTCTTCCTTTCAAAAACCCATTCTATGAACACAATCTCACCTCCTTCATCGTGTTTCATACCTCTCTTCCCAACACGATGATCACTAATACCACTACTACTCTCTTCTTGTTCATCTCTCTACTTCTTCTTTCTTGTTTTCTCCAAGTTTCTTCCAATGGAGACGCTGAGATACTGAGTCGGGTTAAAAAGAGCCGACTCTTCGACCCCGATGGAAATTTACAAGATTGGGTCATAACTGGAGATAATCGGAGCCCGTGTAACTGGACGGGAATCACATGCGACATCAGAAACGGTAGCTCATTCGCCGTCACTGCCATAGATATCTCCGGCTATAATATCTCCGGTGGGTTTCCTTACGGATTCTGTCGTATCCGTACACTCATCAACATCACTCTTTCTCAAAACAATCTCAACGGTACGATTGATTCTGGTCCTCTCTCGCTCTGTTCTAAAATTCAGGTTTTGATCCTCAATGTAAACAACTTCTCCGGTAAATTACCTGAATTCTCGCCGGAGTTTCGTAACTTACGTGTCCTCGAATTGGAATCAAACCTGTTCACCGGCGAAATTCCTCAGAGCTACGGGACATTGAACGCTCTGCAAGTTCTGAACCTTAATGGTAACCCGCTCAGTGGAATCGTTCCGGCGTTTTTGGGTAATCTGACTGAGTTAACTCGTCTTGATCTCGCTTACATCGGTTTTGATCCTAGTCCAATTCCATCAACCTTCGGGAACTTGACGAATTTGACTGAACTTCGGCTAACTCACTCGAACCTCGTCGGAGAAATTCCTGATTCGATCATGAATCTGGTGTTGTTAGAGAATCTCGATTTAGCTATGAATGGTCTCACAGGAGAAATACCTAAGAGTATCGGACGACTCGAATCGGTTTATCAGATTGAGCTCTACGATAATCGGTTATCTGGAAAATTGCCGGAGAGTATCGGAAATTTAACCGAATTGAGGAATTTTGATGTCTCTCAGAATAATCTCACCGGTGAATTGCCGGAAAAGATCGCTGCTCTGCAACTTATCTCTTTCAATCTCAATGATAATTTCTTCACCGGAGGATTACCAGATGTCGTAGCTTTGAATCCTAATCTCGTCGAATTCAAGATCTTCAACAACAGTTTCACGGGGACGTTACCTAGGAATCTCGGAAAATTCTCAGAATTATCTGAAATTGATGTCTCGACGAACAGATTCTCCGGTGAATTGCCGCCGTATCTCTGCTACAGAAGAAAACTTCAGAAGATAATCACATTCAGCAATCAATTAAGCGGCAAAATTCCGGAATCTTACGGCGATTGTCATTCGCTTAATTACATCCGAATGGCGGATAACAAACTCTCCGGCGAAGTTCCGGCTAGGTTTTGGGAACTTCCTCTTACTCGTCTCGAGCTAGCCAACAACAATCAATTAGAAGGTTCGATTCCTCCTTCGATTTCCAAAGCTCGTCATCTATCTCAGCTCGAAATCTCCGGTAACAATTTCTCCGGTGCGATTCCCGTCAAAATCTGTGATCTCCGTGATCTCAGAGTCATCGATCTTAGCCGCAACCGTTTCTCAGGCCCTCTTCCGTCTTGCATCAACAATTTGAAGAATCTAGAGAGAGTGGAGATGCAGGAGAACATGCTCGACGGCGAAATTCCGAGTTCAGTGAGTTCGTGCACCGAATTGACTGAGTTAAATCTCTCGAAAAACCGTTTACGCGGCGGAATACCACCGGAGCTCGGTGATTTACCGGTTTTGAACTATCTGGATCTCTCCAATAACCAACTCACTGGTGAGATTCCGGCGGAGCTGTTGAGGCTGAAGCTTAATCAATTCAACGTCTCCGATAACAAACTCTACGGTAAGATCCCTTCTGGATTTCAGCAAGATATTTTTCGACCCAGTTTCTTGGGTAACCCGAATCTCTGTGCTCCGAATTTGGATCCGATTAGACCTTGCCGATCCAGACCGGAAACCTGGTACATTCTCCCGATCTCAATCATCTGCATTGTTGCACTAACCGGAGCTTTGGTTTGGCTGTTCATCAAAACAAAACCGTTATTCAAGAGAAAACCGAAACGGACCAATAAAATAACCATTTTTCAACGGGTCGGGTTCACGGAGGAAGACATATACCCGCAATTAACAGAAGATAACATAATCGGGTCGGGCGGGTCGGGTTTGGTTTACAGAGTGAAACTCAAATCAGGTCAAACGCTTGCGGTTAAGAAACTCTGGGGAGGACCAGGTCAAAAACCGGAATCTGAATCCGTTTTCAGATCCGAAGTAGAGACTCTGGGTCGGGTCAGACATGGAAACATCGTGAAGCTGCTCATGTGCTGCAACGGCGAGGAGTCTCGGTTCCTAGTGTACGAGTTCATGGAAAACGGTAGCTTAGGTGACGTTTTGCATTCTGAGAAAGAACATCGTGCCGTTTCTCCACTTGATTGGACGACACGATTTTCGATCGCGGTTGGTGCTGCTCAAGGACTTTCTTATCTACATCATGACTCTGTTCCGCCGATTGTTCACCGTGACGTTAAAAGCAATAATATATTGTTGGACCATGAGATGAAGCCACGTGTCGCTGACTTTGGTTTAGCTAAATCGTTGAAGAGAGAAGACAATGATGGTGTCTCCGATGTTTCTCCCATGTCTTGTGTTGCTGGATCCTACGGCTACATTGCTCCGGGTCAGAATTCTTAACTCTATAATATCAAACCGTAAAAATTCATTTTAGTAACATTACTTGAAATATATATTGTTCTTTTGTGGTTGCAGAATATGGTTATACGTCAAAAGTTAATGAGAAGAGCGATGTCTATAGCTTCGGGGTGGTTTTACTCGAATTGATTACCGGAAAAAGACCGAACGATTCGTCTTTTGGAGAGAATAAGGACATTGTTAAGTTTGCAATGGAAGCAGCTTTGTGTTACCCTTCTCCATCAGCAGAAGACGGAGCCATGAATCAAGATTCACCTGGAAATTATCGAGATCTTAGCAAGCTTGTGGATCCAAAGATGAAACTTTCGATGAGAGAATATGAAGAGATAGAGAAAGTTCTTGATGTTGCATTGCTCTGTACGTCGTCGTTTCCGATTAATAGGCCGACCATGAGGAAAGTAGTAGAGTTGCTTAAAGAGAAGAAGTCACTAGAGTGATATTAATCCTAGGCTTTTAATTATTAGGCTTCTATAAAATGTACAAAATCCGACTAGGATTGTTTGTTACTTATTATTATAGGTTGGATTTTGCTTTAAAGTTTGGCTTTTTAGAAATTAAACTATTTTAACCTTTCAAAGAACAACTCCATAGTCCATACTATAAAAGTAACCGAACACATCTTTGTAGTTTCTACATGAGGGGTGAGTGTACAAGAGGTGCTGAATGTCCATACCGGCATGAGATTCCCAAAACAGGAGAGCACAACAGAAAAGAGCATTATTTTGGGTAAGCTATATTTCTTCTGTATGACTGTATGCTTGAATTTGTTGACGTTTACTTAGTTGCCTAATGGAGTTTGTGAATCAATATCATATGTTTATGCTATAGGTACGATTTTCTCCTTGGTCAGTTCATATACTTGAAATCAGAGCCGTAGTGGAATAGAAGCGGATGAGGCAAGGGCTGCGGCCCTTGTTATGTTTAAAACAATTTTCGGCCCTCAAAACAACAAGAATTACTTTAGCCTAGTGGTTTTGCTAGGTATCTTCTAGTAAATGAACCTGAGTTCGAGTCTCTATTAGTGCGTTATGTAACTTTTTTTTTTTAAAATTTTTAACTTAAAAAAATAATTAAAATAGGTGACCCAAAATAATTAGAGCGGCCTTTTTTTTTTTGCTCGTGTGTGGCCCTCAAAATCGTTGCTACGGCTCTGCTTGAAATTTGGAAGCCACTGACATATGTGAATTGTGATCTTCAATTCTAAGGCTGAACATTGTGTTGTTTTTCTTTTATAAAGAAATGAAGACTTGTCGAAGGCATGACAATTTCAAAGCTACACGAATTTTTGCTCAAAGACCAAAAAGTTTCAATTCAACATGGATCATCTCATATTATTCATTAATGTGCATATTATCAAATTTTCTAGGATATGTAGACAGCAGACCCAATGTATTTTCAACTAGTTTTTTTTTTAAGCGGTAACTAAACTAGTCCAAAGCAATTTTTCATTGTTGTTTTTTTCTTTTACAACTAACTTTTGTTACAAAAGAAAAAAAAAGCCCATTACAAACAAATAAACATTTTCAACTTTTTAGTGGACCAGGTTAGTACAAGAGCCTCTTAAGAAAAAAAGAAAATTTGTATTGGGCAAATTACAAGCCCATTATTTAAATTAACAGGCCTGTTTCTCATAGGCCTTTGATACTTTCATCGATTCTAATTTAGGGTTTCAGAGACGACCACGTTACCTCCGTCACGAAACCGCCAGTGACTCTATCATCTTCACCTCTCGCATCTTCTTCTTCTTCTTCATCTTCACGAAGCAATTAAAGAGAATCAATCAACTAGCTAAAAATCGGAAGAAACACAAGCCGAGGTTTATAATCTATGGCGTCTAAGGTAATCTCTGCCACAATCCGTCGAACCCTAACCAATCCACACGGGGCTTTTTCCCGGTGTCGCCACCTATCAACCGCCGCTGCTGCGACGGCGGTGAATTACGAGGATGAATCGATTTTGATGAAAGGAGTTCGAATTTCAGGTAGACCTCTTTATTTAGATATGCAAGCGACGACTCCGATTGATCCTAGAGTATTCGATGCGATGAATGATTCCACGATCCATGAGTACGGTAATCCTCACTCGCGGACGCATATGTACGGCTGGGAAGCTGAGAACGCCGTCGAGGTCGCTCGAATCCAGGTCGCGAAACTGATCGAAGCTTCACCGAAGGAGATCATATTCATGTCCGGTGCGACAGAGGCGAATAATACGGCGGTGAAAGGAGTGATGCACTTTTACAAGGACACGAAGAAACACGTTATCACTACACAGACTGAGCACAAGTGTGTGCTTGATTCCTGTAGGCATTTGCAGCAAGAAGGATTTGAGGTAACTTATTTGCCTGTGAAAACTGATGGATTGGTTGATTTAGAGATGTTGAAAGAAGCTATTAGGCCAGACACAGGGCTAGTTTCGATTATGGCTGTGAACAATGAGATTGGTGTGGTTCAGCCTATGGAGGAGATTGGTAGGATTTGCAAAGAGCATAATGTTCCGTTTCATACTGATGCTGCTCAAGCTATTGGGAAGATACCTGTTGATGTTAAGAAGTGGAATGTTGCTTTGATGTCAATGAGTGCTCACAAGATCTATGGACCAAAAGGTGTTGGTGCTTTGTATGTGAGGAGGAGGCCGAGAATTAGGCTTGAGCCGTTGATGAATGGTGGAGGTCAGGAGAGGGGGTTGCGTAGTGGCACAGGGGCTACGCAACAGATTGTTGGGTTTGGTGCTGCTTGTGAATTGGCGATGAAGGAGATGGAGTATGATGAGAAGTGGATTAAGGGACTGCAGGAGAGGTTGCTGAATGGGATTAGAGAGAAGCTTGATGGGGTTGTGGTGAATGGTTCAATGGATAGTCGATATGTAGGGAATCTGAATTTGTCATTTGCTTATGTTGAAGGAGAGAGTCTGTTGATGGGGTTGAAGGAAGTTGCAGTGTCTAGTGGAAGTGCTTGTACTAGTGCGAGTTTGGAGCCTTCTTATGTGTTGAGAGCTTTGGGTGTGGATGAGGACATGGCTCACACTTCGATTAGGTTTGGGATTGGTAGGTTTACCACGAAGGAAGAGATTGATAAAGCAGTCGAGCTTACGGTTAAACAAGTTGAGAAGTTGAGGGAAATGAGCCCGCTTTATGAAATGGTTAAAGAAGGTATCGATATCAAGAACATTCAATGGTCTCAACACTGATTCAACAGTTCCACTCAAACTGTTGTGCGGGACGACCGGTCTGTGCGCAGCCGGGGTATGAGCCATGCTGAGATGTTAGTATGAACTATGATATGATCCTGAGTTCTTACTATGTTCTGTTGGTAAGTTATCTATATTGCTTTTTAGAGAGATTTCAAGTGAGAGTTTCTTGTGTGGTGTTGTAATAAAACAGAGCAGGAACAAAACTTTATTTCTGGTTAGGTTTGTGATCCTTTGAATGATTAATTTTATTTAGGTGTTATGAACCTTAATAGCTATTAGCTTGTTACCTACGGTAATACTAAAGTTTTGTTTTGTTTTGTTTTTCTCACTATTTATGAAAATGAAAAACAATTTTTTATATATTCCTCTTTTCTTACCTCTGAAAATGTCGGCGACACACTAAGATGTTGAAGTAACAAAACATAAAATGAAAATTGAAAATTAAGAGGACAGCAACTGTATATTGAAAATTTGGTTTAAACAGCACGATTATAAGGACCTATACTATTAATGTTCTTACCTTGATGATCATAACTCATAAGTATCCCATGTGATTTGGTACCAAAGTTTTTTTCAGATCTACCTAAAATCGAGTCGACCTTTGCTACAAACTCAAATATGATCCGAACTATGTAATAAAATTTATATTCTTCTGTTTTTTGTATTCAAATTTGGATAGAAACAAGTATTTAGTAGGTCGTAGGTGGCCCATGGGAAACATCCAATGGATACAAAACCTCATATTATAAATTCTCTATGCCAAAATAATTAGAACCATAGGTTATGTTATGTACCACAACCATCCTTTGATTGAGACATTAAATTCCTTCGCGTTTATAAACCACACTTTCATATACATCTAACATCTTCTTCCCTAACATTTCTTCGCATTGTTTCTTCTATTAATTTGTTTTTTTTTGAAACATGTCAAAAAGAAAAGAAAAGAATAGAAACATTTAGTTAATGTTTTGTAATTGTTCGTTGTACATTAATTACTTTTTCAGCTAATTTGTAAAGAAACTGATCAAATGATGATTGATAAATGATAATCCTTTTTGTATTAGGAGTGTCATGTCAATGGTGTATAGTGTATATAGCTTTAGCCTTTAGTTCAACGAGTAGAAACGTCATAAGTTTTATCGAAGGAACCACAATTTAAGTCTGATTAGTTTGCAATATGAACACAAGATGATAACCATTCTCAACCTTACATTTTCATTGGCATCAAATTTAGGTCATGTTTAGAATATAGATTAATAAATGAGTAGGCCAAGAGACGGCTCGCAATTAGCTGTGTGGAAAGCTAGACTATGTCTCCTACCGTCCACGTCAGCGTCTTAAATCCTCAAATCCCATTGGCAACAAAAAAAAAACGTTGTGTATATATATACATGTACACTTATCACTCTCTACTCACTTTTAAAACAAACTCATAGGTAAAAAACAGACATTTTTAAAACATAAAAAGTCCCATGGCTAAGATATGTTCCCCTTCTTTTCCCGATACTCACTTTCTTTACATTTTCACTCTCTTTACACTAATGTTCATTCGGATTTCCGCTCGGCCCGCGACATTCGTTGATGATTTCAAAGCCGCGTGGTCGGAATCTCACATCCGTCAAATGGACGGTGGAAAAGCTATCCAGCTCGTCCTTGATCAGAGCACTGGTACACCAACACCACATATATCCCTTGGATGAAATGGAAACATTTTAAAATTAATGGTGTTTTATGTAATATACTCTCACATGTTCATATTTGTCTTTTAAAGGATGTGGATTTGCTTCCAAAAGAAAGTATTTATTCGGACGAGTAAGCATGAAGATCAAACTCATTCCCGGAGACTCTGCCGGTACGGTCACCGCTTTCTACGTAAGTCTATCATTTTACTCCATTAGTTTTTAAAATTAAATTTACACATTCAAACACTAAATAATAACATTTTCTTGAAACATTAACGGTCGAATCATTCATATTTCTATAGATGAACTCCGATACGGCCACGGTGAGAGACGAGCTAGATTTCGAGTTCTTGGGAAACAGAAGTGGTCAACCTTACTCAGTGCAAACAAACATATTTGCTCATGGCAAAGGAGATAGAGAACAAAGAGTTAATCTTTGGTTCGACCCATCTTTGGATTACCACACTTACACTATCTTATGGTCACACAAACATATTGTGTAAGCTTCTCTCTTATACTTTTGCTATAATCAACATTTACTGTTTCATTTTTTTTTTCTTCACAATTTACTGTTTGAAAAAACCTCGATTTAACGTGGGTTTGTTTTGGTTACTTAGTTTTTACGTAGACGATGTGCCAATAAGAGAATACAAAAACAATGAAGCCAAGAACATAGCTTACCCAACATCACAACCTATGGGAGTTTACTCAACATTATGGGAAGCCGATGACTGGGCGACACGTGGCGGATTAGAGAAAATTGATTGGAGCAAAGCTCCGTTTTATGCTTATTACAAAGATTTTGACATCGAAGGTTGTCCTGTTCCCGGACCAACCTTTTGTCCATCGAACCCTCACAATTGGTGGGAAGGTTATGCCTATCAGTCTCTTAACGCCCTCGAAGCTCGACGTTACCGGTGGGTTAGAGTAAACCATATGGTTTATGATTATTGTACCGACCGGTCTAGGTTTCCTGTCCCACCACCCGAGTGTCGTGCTTGAAAATAATTCCATACGTACGTTACAATGATCATGTTTCGTCTTGTACGATATTTTATATATAAATTGTGGGAAAATGTGGATTGTATTGTCCTCTTATGCAATTGTGCAGACGTACGTGAGTGTGTAGTGTGTATAGATATATAGATATAATTGTGATTTGTGTTTATTTGAAAATTCATAAACATAAATGAATTCTGTGAAAACAGGTTAATATGTGACTGTGACCTTATGGCATTGATTGTTTCGAGCACATTACTTTTCTTTCTCTACCAAACAAATTCTGAATCTAAATTCGTAACTTTGAGATAAATTTTCTATAGAAGATCACTAGTACACGCGTAGAGTTGTTGGATTATATGCAAATTTCAAATTGTGAACAAAATACTTGCTTAACCACTCAAATTTTGTAATCTTAATAAAAACTAACCACAAATACCCAAAAAAAATAAGAAAATTAAAACGTATAGATGTTACAAGGATTCGTTGCACGAAGAGGATATTATTGGTTTGGCTATATGGTCCCATTGCCAACAAAGGCGTCAGATTTGCATTAAACCTTAGAAGGAAAATGTCTTATCAAGCTCAGAACTTGTTGAAATAATGTGGATACTCACTAAGAAATGCCAAGAAAACTTGAAATCAATGGGCATTGATGATATCTAATTTTTCAACTTTAGAATCGAACTAGTTCTCATTTAGTTTTGCCTTGATAAGTATTTCTTCCTTTTCACATTATTTTTTGTTCTTGTTGAATGAAATACTATGATACTAATCAGAAATATTTCCAAGATGACATGATAAATTTACTACTGGCCAAATTCACACATACTCACAAATCCAAATGAAAGTTTGTTTTTATATAGTAAAATCTGTCCTAAAATTTGCAACCCAAAAAGATTCACCATAATTCATAATTCCATATTTCTTCAATATTACCACTTAAACTTTGTGGGTTTGATTGGTTGGGTAACAAAGTAGTTTTTTTGCTAAGTAAATTTGTTTAAATTAGAAGACTTTTGAGGTCTTAAACATAGATTGATTAAGCCACCGACAGTACTACTACAGCTGGAGAGAAAGGGTTCAAATAAATGAATAATAGCATTCAAATACTCTTTTTCAAAATTACTAAGTAAAAGAGTTATTATTGCTTGAAACTCCACATTGATGGTGATTGATAGATCAGCTTTGGGATTGAGTGGCCACAAAGGAAAAAAGAAGGTACATTCACCTTTCTTATTTGAAAGCTACATGGGTCTTATCTTAAACGTACAGAAGAAAAATAGTAAAAAGGAACTTTTGTCCTCACTTACTACTACTCATCACTGTACTAACTCTTCTCTTTGTATCATGTTTCATTAGAACTTTCCGAATCAGCTAATTAGCAAGTATGGTTTCAAATGGTTGTCTGTTCTATTTGTTGTTGATTTTGACTGCGACTGGGTCTGAACAATAAGGACAGTTCCCAAACAGAACATCAAATGACCTGCAAGAAATATTGGATCATAATTGAGCTTTAGAGCAGAAGGATTGCGTGTGTCTGTGTGTTTGGATGTGAGAGAGTGAGAGATTAAGGTTCTCACTTACTGTCTTGTTGTTGTGATAGACCTTAACCAGTCTGTGAGGCAAAGGCTATGGAAAGACTTGTTGCAACTGATGTTTTCACATGTGTAATCTGTTCGTGTCCCACTTCTAGCTCCGAGCTCCTCATCTTAGTTTAAAGTAAATGAGAAGTTAGTGAACCATCAGCAAATTACTATTCTGAAGCATTGCTTTTTCGGTTTGAGAAATCACCGGTGGGTAGAAACTGCGCATAGCAAATTCCACATTCAACTTGTTGTTGATTGTCTTCCTCTTGGAGACCTAGAGGCTTTGGAAGCTCAGTACCTAGAATACATTCGAGGTTCTCAGGAAATGATCTTTCCTTTGACCTGTATGATTATCATTAATCGTGAATCCTGCTTTCAACAGTCCATAAAACCTCACTATACTCCATGCTATAACCTACCGAAAGAGATTTACAATGGGAGAGTAGAGACAAAAGAATTTTACCATTTTTTGCTGTTTCTTCTCCATAACATATGTAAGCTGTTCATATGCGTAGCTGGAGGCACAGGACCAATAAACCGGCACCTGTCTATGAAATTCACTATTAAGAAACTGCAGAAACAGATGTTATTGTGAGTGTGTGAATTGTGTAGAAACATACTCTGGTAGAGATTTAGGGTCTTTGAAGTCGATATGAACAATGACGATGCAATGATTTCCTGAGAAAATGAACCAATTAGTAGATAGATAAAAAGTGAATTTCGTCAAGACAGAAATAAAAGAGTATCCAGACAAATGGGTATAGAGGTAAAGGTAATAAACCAGCATGAATCCGGCGGATAGCAGAGGCGCGAGATGGTTGTTTGGCATCAACAATACAGAGAGATTTATCGATATCATCCAAGACAGACCAAAATTCTTGAAGATAGTCCAAATGCTGTTAACAAAAAAAGAAGCTGATTATGTGTGTTTGCTGATTAGTGATTACAAAGAGAGAATGTATATCTAATATACCTTTTGGAATTGGTACATCACATCCTTCAATCTTGAACTTGTTGACCATTCTAAAGTAAACATGTATGGCACATCCTACATCAAGCAAAATTTAACCGGGCAATTCGGAAAATCCGCTATGGAGAACGGAAAAAGTTGAAGGATTTGACAAAACAAACCGCAGAAACAGAAGGTGGTGAATTAGGATAGTCTCTGTTCAGTTGAAATTCTAAGTTATGTGCTCTTCCCTTCTTATCGCTGTACATGATCATGATGATTATAATGTTCAGAACACAAAACTACCATGTCACATGAATATTGAGATACATATAATGCAATGTACTAATCACATTATCCATTATCCAAAGATTTTGAAGCGAAACCCTAAAAATTGAGGAACTTACAAAATCTGAAAGCTGAAAAACGTTAAATCTCCACCTAATCTCCTTAGCGGTTCCCATCCAATTTCCTCTATCTAACAAACCAATACACAACAATTCGTTCAGAGCAATCAATTTTAAGAAGGAAAAAAATGAAGAGATTGATGATTAACCAAACCTCCGAGTAAACTTTCCGGTAAAACGAAGAAGACTTTGCTAATTCCTCGCATCTTTCACGTCCTATACATTCTCCAGCACCATTCATCATCATCTACGCAGATTCATCTTCAACCTCTGGAAACTTCTGCATTTTTTAGTTCGTGTTGAGTGAAGAAGAATTTGAGTGTTACGTTTTGGGCCTGAAAGCCCAATATTTGATGATTCTTATTAATGCCCATTTAATAAGCCCATTTCAGGCCCATTATTTCAAGGCGGTGCACTTTCTTACTTTTCGTTCTTTCTTTCTCTGTCTCCTAGAAGCTACTTCACTGGGATCGTCTCCATCATTGATCCAGGTTCGTCTTCTTCGTGAGTCTTCCTGCATAATTTTGTTTAAATTTCTCCACTTTTTTTTTTGTTATTTTGATTTTCTCTGATGGAAATTCTCCGAAATGAAAGTTGTTGAGCTAAAATATTTGGGAATTCTGAATTTTTTTGGATGATCTGAATGATGTCAGATCGCTGAGAAACTATGTGATTTATAGGTTATATTCGTTTTCAGATTTCTATGTGTTTGCATGAGATATAATTAAGTCGTTACTTATCTAGCCATTTTTGACTTATCTACTTTCTTTTTTTGTTGTTGAGTATTTTATTCTGTTGTTTAATGATTTCATTTTCAGGTTCAGAGAAATAAACAATTGAAAAATTCGAGATTCTGGGATTGTATGATTTGTTGCTGGCTGATAGATTACTTGAACTATGGTTTGGTTTAGAACTGGTTCTTCTGTGGCAAAGCTTGCCATAAGAAGGACTCTGTCTCAGTCTCGGTGTGGTTCATATGCCACTAGAACAAGGGTTTTGCCTTGTCAAACCAGATGTTTTCACTCTACAATACTCAAATCAAAGGCAGAGTCTGCTGCTCCTGTTCCACGTCCTGTCCCACTTTCTAAGCTAACTGATAGCTTCTTAGATGGAACAAGCAGTGTGTATCTCGAGGAGTTACAAAGAGCTTGGGAAGCTGATCCTTACAGTGTTGATGAGTCGTGGGATAACTTTTTTAGGAACTTTGTGGGTCAGGCTGCTACATCTCCTGGTATCTCGGGGCAAACCATTCAAGAAAGCATGCGTTTGTTGTTGTTAGTTAGAGCTTACCAGGTTAATGGACACATGAAGGCCAAGCTTGATCCTTTGGGTCTAGAGGAGAGAGAGATTCCAGAGGATCTCACGCCAGGTCTTTATGGGTTTACTGAGGCTGATCTTGATCGGGAATTTTTCCTGGGTGTATGGAGGATGTCGGGTTTTCTCTCTGAGAACCGTCCGGTTCAAACACTGAGGGCTATACTCTCGAGGCTTGAGCAGGCTTACTGTGGGACTATAGGATATGAGTACATGCACATTGCTGATAGGGATAAATGTAACTGGTTGAGAGACAAGATCGAGACCCCAACACCTCGACAGTACAATAGTGAGCGTCGGGTGGTTATTTATGATAGGCTTACCTGGAGCACACAGTTTGAGAATTTCTTGGCTTCTAAGTGGACCACGGCTAAAAGATTTGGACTCGAAGGTGCTGAGTCTTTGATTCCTGGCATGAAGGAGATGTTCGATAGGTCTGCAGATCTCGGGGTAGAGAACATAGTTATCGGTATGCCCCATAGGGGTCGACTTAATGTTTTGGGCAATGTTGTTAGAAAACCTCTACGTCAAATATTCAGCGAGTTTAGTGGTGGTACTAGGCCAGTAGATGAAGTTGGGCTTTACACCGGAACAGGTGATGTGAAATACCACTTGGGTACATCTTATGATCGCCCAACTAGAGGAGGCAAACATCTCCACTTATCTTTGGTAGCAAACCCCAGTCACTTGGAAGCAGTAGATCCTGTTGTGATGGGTAAAACCAGAGCGAAACAATATTACACGAAAGACGAGAACAGAACAAAGAACATGGGTATTTTGATCCATGGGGATGGTAGCTTTGCCGGACAAGGTGTGGTATATGAAACTCTGCATCTTAGTGCACTTCCTAACTACTGTACTGGTGGAACAGTGCACATTGTGGTCAATAATCAAGTGGCTTTCACAACCGATCCCAGGGAAGGAAGGTCGTCACAGTATTGCACTGATGTTGCAAAGGCTTTGAGTGCCCCAATTTTTCATGTCAATGCAGATGACATTGAAGCAGTAGTGCATGCTTGTGAGCTTGCTGCTGAGTGGCGCCAGACATTCCATTCTGATGTTGTTGTTGATTTAGTATGCTACCGTCGCTTTGGGCATAACGAGATAGACGAACCGTCATTCACCCAACCAAAAATGTACAAGGTCTGGCTATTTAAATAATCTAATACCACTTTCCACTTTGTTATTTCCAGGATTTCTTTTCATGTAATATTTTTTGTTTAAAAACGGATGTTACTTGTTGTTGATAGGTGATACGCAATCATCCCTCGTCGCTTCAAATCTACCAGGAGAAGCTCTTGCAATCTGGACAGGTAACCCAAGAAGATATTGATAAGATTCAAAAGAAAGTAAGCTCTATCCTCAATGAAGAATTTAAGGCTAGTAAAGATTATATTCCACAAAAACGTGACTGGCTGGCAAGTCATTGGACTGGATTCAAGTCACCGGAGCAGATTTCTAGGATCCGAAACACTGGGTATGAAGATTTTCATTTTATTTAGGTTGTTATTGCCTTTGGCTTTTGTTTTTTCCCAAATGTAACAGCTTGCCTTGTTCGCTTGCAGTGTGAAGCCAGAGATTTTGAAGAATGTGGGGAAGGCAATCTCAACCTTCCCAGAGAACTTCAAGCCACACAGAGGGGTGAAAAGAGTTTATGAACAACGTGCTCAAATGATTGAATCGGGAGAAGGCATTGACTGGGGACTTGGAGAAGCTCTTGCTTTTGCTACACTGGTTGTGGAAGGCAACCACGTTCGGCTAAGTGGTCAAGATGTTGAAAGAGGAACTTTCAGTCATAGACACTCAGTGCTTCATGATCAGGAAACTGGCGAGGAGTATTGTCCCTTAGATCACCTGACCATGAACCAAGACCCTGAAATGTTCACTGTCAGCAACAGGTATGTTTTGTGAATCTCTGGAGATCGTAACCACTCTTCAATTGTTTTCTACATGATCTTTGCGTTGTTTGTGTATGCAGCTCTCTTTCGGAATTTGGTGTTCTCGGATTCGAACTGGGTTATTCGATGGAAAATCCCAATTCTCTGGTGTTATGGGAAGCTCAGTTTGGAGACTTTGCTAATGGCGCACAAGTTATGTTTGATCAGTTCATAAGCAGTGGGGAAGCCAAATGGCTCCGTCAAACTGGTCTAGTAGTTCTACTTCCTCATGGATATGATGGTCAGGGTCCTGAACATTCCAGTGGAAGATTGGAACGTTTCCTCCAGGTATATTATATGACTTATACTTACCCATCAAGTTTCTCTCCACTTTTCGTATTTGTTTCCCTCTCATTTGAAGATTTTAACTGCAGATGAGTGATGACAATCCTTACGTTATCCCTGAGATGGATCCAACTCTTCGAAAGCAGATTCAAGAATGTAATTGGCAAGTTGTTAATGTTACTACACCTGCAAACTATTTCCATGTTCTGCGTCGGCAGGTAAAATATTTATATATCCCAAGTTTGTAAAAGGTTGTTACTTTATCTTTTTATTCTTCACACTCAAACACTTGATATCATCCATTTGCAGATACACAGGGACTTCCGCAAGCCCCTTATAGTAATGTCTCCCAAAAACTTGCTTCGTCACAAACAGTGTGTATCTAATCTCTCGGAATTCGACGATGTTAAAGGACATCCTGGTTTTGACAAGCAAGGAACTCGATTTAAACGGTTGATCAAAGATCAAAGTGGTCACTCTGATCTTGAAGAAGGTATCAGACGTCTAGTCCTCTGCTCTGGGAAGGTAAACAAAAAAAGGATCCAGTTTTTCCTTCATTTACTAACAAAGTTCTCACATTCTGAAATTTAATACTTTAAATGTCAATGAATCAGGTCTACTATGAGCTTGACGAAGAGCGAAAGAAGTCTGAAACAAACGATGTAGCCATTTGCAGAGTAGAGCAGCTTTGTCCATTCCCTTATGATCTCATTCAAAGAGAACTAAAGCGATATCCAAGTAGGGGTCGACACTCAAGATTGTGTTCAATAGTTTTGGTTGAATATGGAATTCTCTGAAAACTTGTTCTTGTGTTTAACAGATGCAGAGATCGTGTGGTGTCAAGAAGAGCCGATGAACATGGGAGGATACCAATACATAGCACTAAGGCTTTGCACCGCGATGAAAGCACTGCAAAGAGGAAACTTCAACGACATTAAGTACGTTGGTCGTCTTCCATCAGCAGCTACGGCCACAGGGTTTTACCAGCTTCATGTTAAGGAGCAGACTGATCTTGTGAAAAAAGCTCTTCAACCTGACCCCATCACCCCCGTCATCCCTTAAAAAAGGCGGCTTCAGGCTTGAGCCTCTTACAAAGAAAGAACAACACAAATAAGGAAGATTCATGAAAGAATCTTTGGTTACCAAATAGTGTCAAACGTAATAAACAGATGTTTGCTAGACTTACAAATTTAAGTTTATTCGACTTGTTTGGTTTGTTACATTGATAAAATTATAGGATTTAATCGAAATAAAAAGAAAAAAAAATTATACCGTTTGGTTTAATATGATAATTTGGTTCAACTTTGGATTGATTTTGGTTCGATTTGGTTTTATTAGTGACTGTAATTGTGCAAGTACTGTATCAGCTTAGACAGTTGCAATCTTGTAGTTGGTGAGAAAAAGCTTTCAAAGTTAAGAGTTATGGCGAACCATTTTTGCTTGCTTCTGATCTTCACTTTCGTTTTCGTCATCACTTTATCTTCTCCGTTAAACGGATTGTCACTGTCTTCTTCCAAGCTTTTACCTCGTTTCCCTCGCTACACTTTCCAGAACCGAGGCAGAATCCAGCAGTTCCGGGGAGATCGAAACGAGTATCGATACGAGACTAAGTTCTTCTCTCAGCAGCTTGACCACTTCAGCTTCGCCGATCTTCCCAAATTCCCGCAACGCTACTTGATCAATTCCGATTACTGGCTTGGTGCTTCTGCGCTTGGACCTATCTTCCTATACTGCGGCAACGAAGGTGATATTGAATGGTTTGCTACAAACTCTGGATTCATTTGGGATATCGCTCCCAAGTTCGGTGCCTTGCTTGTTTTCCCTGAGGTTCGTTGGTGTTTTTTTTTCCTTCTATTTCAAAGCCAATGAAATTGAAAACGAAGCAATTCGTTACTGATTTCTGGGGTTTTGGTATTAGCATAGGTATTATGGAGAGTCAATGCCTTATGGAAGCATGGAAGAAGCTTACAAGAACGCTACCACTTTATCATATCTCACAACTGAGCAAGCTCTTGCTGATTTTGCTGTTTTTGTCACTGATTTGAAACGCAACTTGTCTGCCGAAGCTTGCCCAGTTGTGTTGTTTGGTGGATCATATGGTGGAAGTAAGTGAGAATCATATGATTGTTTTTGTGTTAGTGGAATGCTTTTGAATGTGATTTTTGTGTGTGTTTGTTGTTGATGCAACAGTGTTAGCAGCATGGATGAGGCTCAAGTATCCTCACATTGCAATAGGAGCTTTAGCTTCCTCAGCTCCAATTCTTCAGTTTGAAGATATTGTACCTCCTGAGACGTTTTACAACATTGCATCAGATGATTTCAAGGTATAACGTTTTTGCTTTGTTAGTCGATTGACTATATCTCGTCTTTCTTTTTTCGGATCGTGACCGTGTTTTTGTTTGTAGCGTGAGAGTAGCAGCTGCTTCAACACCATTAAGGACTCGTGGGATGCAATTATAGCAGAGGGTCAGAAGGAGAATGGCCTTCTGCAGTTGACGAAAACTTTTCACTTTTGTCGGTAAACGAATAAATTGGAGTTCATGTACGCTTGTAAAGTGTATTAATTAGTAATAGTTTAATGATTTGTTACTCGATTTGCAGGGTGTTGAACAGTACTGATGACCTTTCAGACTGGCTGGACTCTGCTTATAGTTATTTGGCAATGGTGGATTATCCGTATCCCGCAGACTTCATGATGCCTTTGCCTGGAAATCCCATTAGAGAGGTATATTATGGGAAGTAACACTTTATGATTTTATACTGATATTGTTCAGCCAAGTCTTGAAGTCCCAATCATTCTTTGTTCAATGTTGTTTATCTTCCTTCAGGTCTGCAGAAAAATTGATGGTGCTCATAGTGATGCTAGCATCCTAGATCGCATATATGCAGGAATAAGTGTGTACTACAACTATACTGGGAATGTTGACTGCTTCAAGTTGGATGATGACCCTCATGGTTTGGATGGATGGAATTGGCAGGTATGAAAAGATCAACTGCTTTATTTACAATTTTCAGTGAATTACTATTATTCACTTTCACCGTCCGTTTACAATAGGCATGCACGGAGATGGTAATGCCCATGTCTAGCAACCAAGAAAACAGCATGTTTCCAGCTTATGATTTTAATTACTCTTCATACAAAGAGGAATGCTGGAATACATTCCGAGTCAATCCAAGACCCAAATGGGTCACAACAGAGTTCGGTGGACATGTAAGACATCTTTTTGATAAACTCAAGAGTCAAGATTCTTTCTATGCTGTGTTCTGAATCTTATACTATCTCTTTCTAATGTAAAAGGATATAGAGACCACCTTGAAGTTGTTTGGAAGTAACATCATTTTCTCAAATGGTCTGTTAGATCCTTGGAGTGGTGGCAGGTAAGAATATTGTTCCCTTTACTCAGATCCCAAGACCTATTTTACAACAGAGATCTTCTAATCGCGATGAATTCCTGACCCCAAATGCAGTGTTCTCAAGAACTTATCAGATACCATTGTTGCTCTTGTCACAAAAGAAGGTAAACTAGAAAGCTTCAAAAATCTCTCACAACTTATCTGTTCTTTCAGGTACATTGACTTAAACCGTTAGATCATAACTGGAGTAGTCTACGTTTCATTGAATCGCATAAATCCACAATTCAAATCGGTGCTATGAACTAGTTTTTGCATATATCTCAAAACATCATCATCATCATCCATTCTCTTTGAAAACTCACAAAGTAAGTTAATAATGGTTTTTTTTCTCAGGTGCACATCACTTGGATTTACGACCTTCAACAGCAGAAGACCCGAAATGGCTTGTGGACCAGCGAGAAGCCGAGATACGGTTGATTCAAGGATGGATAGAAACTTATCGACTAGAAAAAGAAGCTAAGGTTTCGCTCTTAAAACGTTCTTGGTAAGAGAACAATGTAAAGAATCGTCTCAGTTTCATTTCCACGAAACTCAGAATCTGCAAACTTTGTATTGTAACACATCTGGTTTGAATAAATCCAATGTAAGCTCTCAATGATCAGTGATCACTAATCTTTTCTACTTGCTTGACTTTTTGGATTTGGGTAGTTATATTGAATACACGCAAACAAAAGAAGTACAGAATAAGATTTATGAGGCTGGCTATACACCCAAACACATCTGTCAAGTAAGTAAAGCTGTTAAAGATCTTAAAGAATCATATCTTCTAAATAATAATGAGTTAATGACAGAGAGAGTGAAACATTTAATGGTTAAGAGTAGAAAATTTAAAATTTAATTACCATTCAGTCATGAGTCATGACTCTTGGAGAAAATCAAAATTTTAATTACCATATAATCACCTCGTTTAAACTAAATTGAAATTTTGGTATTGGCCGCTAAAAACGAGGATGAAAAGGCTTTAAACGCCGACGTTTTGGTACTTTGACTAGTCGAATAAAAACGCTTTTGACTAAAACGTCGACCTAAAAAAAAGAAGAGAGACGCACTGTCACAGAACTCTTCTTTGCTGTGTGAGAGAGAGAGAAAAAGTGAAGAGACAATCACCGTGCTTTTGATCGGAGATCGGAGGAATTTAGGTTCGATTCTCCGTCTTTGTGCTATTGGGAGAGACGATGGCAACTTCTCGTTCGGAGCGATTTCCGATAACGCCGGCTACTAATAGATTGACGATTACGCCTAATTCTAGGGTTTTGAAAAGCCCTCTCACTGAAGAAGTCTTGTGGAAGCGGCTCAAGGATGCTGGGTTTGATGAACAATCGATCAAGAATAGGGATAAAGCCGCCTTAATTGCTTACATCGCCAAGCTGGAATCTGAGGTTTGCTTCTCGATTTTTCATTGAAGTTCTCATTCTTTAGTGTTTTGACTAGAGTACTCTAGGCGGGAACACAATGAAACTAACTATGAGAGTGTTATAATTACTAGGATTAGCTTGTGCCCTAAAGTTTGATTCTTCAGTTCATATGAAATGAATTTAATTCGTTTTTGTGAATGCCCTTAATTGTTTCAGCCATCTCCGTTACGCTTGTGAGTCAATCCTGACAATATATTGGATGGAATTGGTTTACTGCAGTTATTGCTTTGCATTTGGACCTTTAAAGTTTCGATTTTGTTTCCTCTTAGGTTGAGATTGTTATATTGGCTAGTTTATTCTCTTGCGTGTTTTATCAGAAAAATCTATCGGCATTGCTATATTGATCTTAATTTTCATGTAGGTTTATGATTACCAACACAACATGGGTCTTCTCCTTCTGGAGAAAAACGAATTGTCTTCGAAGTATGAAGAGATTAAGGCCTCTGTGGATGAGTCTGATCTAACACATAGGCGAGAGCAATCGGCTTATGTCTCAGCTCTAGCTGAAGCAAAGAAACGAGAAGAGAGTTTGAAGAAGGATGTAGGGATTGCGAAAGAGTGCATTTCTAGTGTAAGTTCTTAATTTTCAGAGCTAGCAAAAGCATATTGTTTCCAATCTGTTTATTGATTTTGTTTTGTTCTTTTTCTCTCAGCTGGAGAAGACTCTGCATGAGATGCGCGCAGAATGTGCCGAAACAAAAGTTTCTGCTGGGAGTACATTGTCGGAAGCACATGTTATGATTGAGGATGCGCTAAAGAAACATGCAGATGCTGAAGCAAAAATGCGCGCAGCTGAAGCTTTACAAGCAGAAGCCAACCGTTATCATCGAATTGCAGAGAGAAAGTTGAAAGAAGTTGAAAGTCGTGAAGATGATCTTACTCGGCGTCTTGCATCTTTCAAGTCTGAGTAAGTCTTTTCTCTCGGTTAACTGCACTTTGGAATTGTACTATTAATGTGTGGGATTAAGTTGTTGTGTTGGTTCTTTCTTTACATGGTTTAGGTCTGAAACGAAAGAGAACGAGATGGTTATTGAGCGACAGACTTTAAATGAGAGGCGGAAGAGCTTGCAGCAAGAGCAAGAAAGGTTATTGGATGCACAAGTTTCACTAAATCAAAGAGAAGATCACATTTTTGCTAGATCCCAAGAATTAGCTGAACTTGAAAAGGGGTTAGATACTGCAAAGACCACATTTGAGGAAGAACGTAAAGCCTTCGAAGTAAAAAAATCCAACTTGGAGATTGCATTAGCCTTGCGTGCTAAAAGAGAAGAGGTTTGTTTGTATTCACACAAGTATCTGTTATTTTTGGTTTTGCATTATACGTCATCAAAAAATTTCTGGGAGACAAGATCGTAATGTTTGATGTTTTTTTCCCTGGCAAAAAACAGGCTGTCTCTGAAAGGGAATCTTCGCTACTTAAGAAGGAGCAAGAGCTGCTTGTTGCTGAAGAAAAAATTGCCAGCAAGGAATCTGTGAGTGTACTTGTTCAATCCGACCAACCTTGTAGTTATCATTCATACTTTTAGTTTTGTGTTCATTTGTTTGCTAGATTTAATGAAAATGCTTTTTAACTTTCAATACAGGAACTAATTCAGAACGTCTTAGCGAATCAAGAAGTTATCCTGAGGACAAGAAAATCCGATGTGGAAGCTGAATTGGAATGTAAGAGCAAATCGGTGGAAGTTGAAATTGAGAGCAAGAGACGGGCTTGGGAATTAAGGGAGGTTGATATCAAGCAGAGGGAAGACCTAGTTGGTGAAAAGGAACATGACTTGGAAGTTCAATCAAGAGCATTGGCAGAGAAAGAAAAGGATATAACAGAGAAGTCTTATAACCTTGAAGAGAAAGAGAAAAATTTGATTGCTACAGAGAAAGATATTAACCTTAAGACAACTCTGCTGGAGAGTGAGAAGGAACGGCTTAGAAAATTGGACCTGGAGCTACAGCAGTCTTTGATATCATTAGAAGACAAGAGAAAACGGGTTGATTCTGCAACACAAAAACTTGAAGCCTTGAAGAGCGAGACAAGCGAATTATCTACTCTGGAGATGAAACTTAAAGAGGAGTTAGATGATTTGAGGGCCCAAAAGCTTGAAATGCTGGCTGAAGCAGATAGATTGAAGGTGGAGAAAGCTAAATTTGAGGCTGAGTGGGAACACATTGATGTAAAGAGGGAAGAGTTGAGAAAAGAAGCAGAATATATAACTCGTCAAAGAGAGGCTTTTTCAATGTATCTCAAGGACGAGCGTGATAACATCAAAGAGGAAAGAGATGCACTGAGAAATCAGCACAAAAACGATGTGGAGTCGCTAAACCGAGAGCGTGAAGAATTCATGAATAAGATGGTGGAAGAGCATTCTGAATGGCTTAGCAAGATACAGCGTGAGCGTGCTGACTTCTTGTTGGGCATTGAGATGCAGAAACGAGAGTTGGAGTATTGCATCGAAAACAAACGAGAAGAATTGGAAAATTCGTCGAGGGATAGAGAGAAGGCTTTTGAGCAAGAGAAGAAGATGGAAGAGGAGCGTATACAGTCGCTTAAGGAAATGGCAGAGAAAGAGTTAGAACATGTCCAAGTGGAACTAAAGAGGTTGGATGCTGAGAGGTTGGAGATCAAATTGGATCGTGAAAGAAGAGAGAGGGAGTGGGCAGAGTTAAAGGATTCGGTTGAGGAGCTAAAGGTGCAACGAGAAAAACTAGAGACGCAAAGGCATATGCTTCGAGCTGAAAGAGATGAAATCCGACATGAGATTGAAGAACTGAAGAAACTAGAGAATCTGAAAGTTGCATTAGATGATATGTCCATGGCTAAAATGCAGCTGTCCAATTTAGAGCGTAGCTGGGAAAAGGTCTCTGCTTTGAAGCAGAAGGTTGTATCTCGGGATGATGAACTAGACTTGCAAAATGGAGTCAGCACTGTGAGTAATAGCGAAGATGGCTACAACTCTTCTATGGAAAGACAGAACGGCTTAACCCCTTCATCTGCCACTCCATTTTCGTGGATAAAACGATACACTACTAATCTGATATTCAAGACTTCTCCAGAGATATCCCCCCTAACGCATCATCATGAAGAAGAAGGAGGATTGCCTTCAGAAAAGTTGAAGCGAGAATCGTCGAAAAGAGAAGAAAAGGCTTACACTGAGGGGCTGTCTATTGCGGTTGAAAGACTTGAAGCAGGAAGGAAAAGAAGAGGTAACACATCTGGAGATGACACTAGCGAACCAAGCAATAACAAAAAGATGAAACATGATGTTACCCAAAAATATTCTGATGAAGCTGATACACAGAGGTAAAATCTGATCATTTTCAATAGCAAATTTTACACATTTGTTTTTTTTGTTTTACTGTTATCGAAGCTGAATCTTGCATCTTATTTTTCTCAGTGTCATATCAAGCCCTCAAAACGTGCCTGAGGACAAACATGAACTACCATCAAGCCATACCCAGACGCCAAGTGGTATGGTAGTCATCAGTGAAACCGTTAAGATCACAACAGTAACGTGTGAGACAGAGGTCACTAACAAAGTCACAACCCTTGAGTGCTCAGAAAGTCCTTCTGAAGCAGGGAGAAAGATGGGAGAGGAGACACAAGATGGTGATTGCAATTAGGTAGTGTTCATGAACAGACACTCATAGCTTTTTCAGCAAAAACTTGATACAGATGAATAATACCCTTTGGCTTTTGCTGTAGACAGGGATAAACGAGTCTGAAACAGTGACTCAGAAAGAAGCTGCAACAGAAGATATATGCATATAAGGTACGTCACAGTCTTCACCAAATAACCAACCCCCACATATGGTCTCAGAAAGTTACAATTCACTAACATGTGTTCTGGTTTCTTCTCTGTTGATGCAGAAACTGTTATGAATCCTTTTGGGGATTGGTTTCTAGAGAAGATAAGGGTATGTAAATTGATTTGATTGATATTAAAACTCGATGTGATGATCATAGTCAGTTTTTTTTTTTCAGATTTCGAGTGAGTAGTGTTGGTTAGGTAAGGTAGGTAGAAAAGAATCGTTTGTTTCTAGTGTGTTGCAGTGTGTATTTGAGAATATATGATTTGTGAGAGGTTTCAAGACTAAAAGCTGAAATCATTATCTGGTTTTATTGTTTCTTCTACTTAAAATGATGTGATGATTGATGTCTTTTAGCTCATCGGTTTTAAGTGTCAACGGCTCTTCTCTGAGTCTGTTCTGTTGTCCCAACAACTATTTCCAACAACAAGAGTGGGCTCGACTACCGTGGCCCATTATGTAGGGTTCTTTCTAACCCAGCCCACAACTTCCATTGGGCTAAATCACAACTAAAAGATATTTGATTGACGTGGCATCAGATATTTAAATTAATTCTTAAAACATTTAAAGATTAAAATAATAATTTAAATGTCAATTAAGGGTTAAACATCAGCGACTCAAAAACACAGTCAAAGATTGAAGAACAGCATCACAGAGATTTCTGAGTCATGGAGAGAAGCGCCGTTGCCTCAGGTATTCATCATAATTACATCCTTTACCCTTCACGCGCCGCCACTTCCACGACGCGCTACCACTCATTCTCCTCTCTCAGAAACTTTCCGTCTTCCTCTCTCAGGGTAATTATAAAAATCACTTCTTCCGAAAACCTGTCTTCTTTATGTAAATCCCTTGATTCGAATATTCTGATTCATGTAGATTCGCCACTCTCCTTCTCCCGTCTCTTCCAATTTCATCATCAGTGAAGTTTCCCCTAACAGATGCGACGCCGTTTCTTCCAGGTTTGACTTCTTCGAGCTCAATGGAACAAACATAATCAGTTTTAGTTATACTTAAATTCGTATTTTTTTCGTGTTTACATTTTCAAATTTTGTGACTTTTGGGTCCAGCACCACGGGTGTGACTGAATTAGCGGAAATTGATTGGGACAAGATTGATTTTGGGCTTAAACCAACGGATTACATGTACGCCATGAAATGTAGCCGTGATGGTGAATTCTCTCAAGGTCAATTGCAACCTTTTGGCAACATTGAAATTAACCCATCAGCTGCTGTACTCAACTATGGACAAGTAAGTATATTTCTCTTAAAAAAAAAAAAAAAAAAAAAGAGTATATTTCTCTTAGCCATCACCTTTATAACTGATTATGAGTTTGACTATACCTAACTTGATCTATAGAAGTTGAAATGTACAAGTTCTGATACTTTGTTTTGTTATTTGGTACATCACCTGTTTTGATGCTATATTATAGTGATGCCTTGTTTTGTGTGTGTGTGTGTGTGTGTGTGTGAAGGGTTTGTTTGAAGGTCTAAAAGCTTACAGAAAACAAGATGGTAATATTCTACTCTTCCGTCCTGAGGAGAATGCGATCCGAATGATTAATGGCGCTGAAAGAATGTGCATGCCTTCTCCAACCGTCGACCAGTTTGTTGAAGCTGTGAAAACTACTGTATTAGCAAACAAACGCTGGGTAACTTTTGAATTTGTTTCTTTTATGTGTTGTGTTACATCACTCTGCGATTGGTAGTCATTGTTTCTTTGTTTCTTTCTTACAGATTCCACCTCCAGGTAAAGGATCATTATACATAAGGCCATTGCTTATGGGTACTGGAGCTGTTCTTGGTCTTGCTCCTGCTCCTGAATACACTTTCCTCATCTTTGTTTCACCCGTCGGGAACTACTTCAAGGTTGCTTTTTGTTGTTGTTGGTCCAATGCAATTTTCTATATTCATCATTTCGTTTTCTGAGTCTGACATATCTTTTACAGGAAGGTGTTGCGCCGATCAACTTAATTGTTGAAACTGAATTCCATCGTGCAACTCCCGGCGGTACTGGAGGTGTTAAAACCATCGGTAATTATGCTGCAGTAAGTACAAAGCTGAAAACATTTTCAAATTTTATGTCCTCTGTTCTCAAAAGCCTAACAGATAATCAATTTTTTAGGTCTTGAAGGCACAGTCAATTGCGAAGGCTAAAGGGTATTCTGATGTTTTATACCTTGATTGCCTTCACAAAAGATATCTCGAGGAGGTTTCATCGTGTAATATTTTCATTGTGAAGGTAAATTAAAGATCATCTTTTGTTGGAACTTCTAAAGTTTCTTGCTGGAAATGAAACTCTTTGTTTACTCGTATTGGGCTCTTCTTGTACAGGATAATGTGATATCTACTCCTGAAATTAAAGGAACCATCTTGCCTGGAATTACCCGGAAGAGTATAATCGAAGTGGCTCGAAGCCAAGGTTTCAAGGTAAAATCCAAATTCCCTTCTTCAAATATTTGGCAACATTCATGATCAAGTAGGTCAGAAAACACAGGAACCTGTGCTATGGACTGCAAATAGCTCATGGTTTTGTCAGTTTAACAAAAATATTCGATTTTAGAGAGTCCTAATTCTGATTTTCAGGTGGAGAAACGAAATGTGACCGTTGATGAATTGGTAGAAGCGGACGAGGTTTTCTGCACAGGAACCGCCGTTGTTTTATCTCCGGTTGGAAGCATTACTTACAAAAGCCAAAGGTATAAAACCTTTTTCTTTCCCCCATTTGATTAAAGCTAATGAAGCACAAAATTTAAACTAAGAATCGTTCCCGACAAATCTGATAGGTTTTCTTATGGAGAAGATGGCTTTGGAACAGTCTCGAAACAACTCTACACTTCCTTGACGAGCGTGCAAATGGGTCTGAGCGAAGATAACATGAACTGGACTGTTCAATTGAGTTAAAATCAGTCAAGAACATATTATACATATGGATTTATGAGTAGATACAGAAGATATTAGAATTGCATGCTTCTGAATTCTGATGCTTCAAGATTCTGATACTTGAAACTATAAACAATAATCTTCGTCTTTAAATAAATAAAACGGAAAAAAAAGCCAGTTCTAGCACAAACTACCAAAAACCTCTAATCAGATTTGAGTTCAGAATCTAGTCAGACTATAGTTCTCTCTTTATCACATTTTTGGTGTTGTTTTGTGAATGAAATTTGTTAAGTGCTAGCATCAGAAAGCAATGGCGAAGAATTGGAAACATATTGCGTGTGAAATGAGAGAAAGAACTCGGCACTGATTTGTGGCTTTTTATTTGCTTAATGAGTGACAGCTTCTTCTTCTACATGCAACTTGACGTGTACTTATTTTATTTAATAATAATCATATACTAATTATTATTTGGTTACCCAAAATCTACTCTAAAAACCCCACTATCTTTGTTTTTGGACCGACACATTTCCCTCCTATCCTCATTCAAATCCTTATAATTACTCATATCTGAAAATAATCTCCAAACAATCCAATCCAATTGTGTTTCCGAGTTTTTTGGATATTTTTATAAACTATGCTCTCTATAATATAACTGAGAGGATCTTATTAAAACTCACTAAGCTTCTAGCGACAAGAGGAGACGTGGAGCTTTTTGTAAAAAGATGTCATGATTATCTCATGATTACGATATAATAAACATGTTTTATGTTAAACTATTGTAAAGGTTAGTGTAACGAAAGGATAGTGTACATTTGTCACGAGAGTCATATCATGAACTCACTTTTTTTTTTTTTTTTGATCTTTAGAATACTTCCAAAAAGAAAAAGTAAATGGATTCTAAAAAAGTATGAGAAAAATATAGAATCATGCATAGAAGAGAGCATAGATGCCTTGAGATGCATATTACAATGACCTTCCTCTTCTCTGCCTTTTACCTTTTGACTTACTATTCTTTTTCTTCCTTTTACACTAATTTTTTGTTCTTTTAAGTTGTTTGTTTATGAATAATTGATTTTTAGTCAATCATATGTGTCTTTTCATCTAAAAGATTTTACAAACTGATTTCATTTACAAAATGATACATGATTCATATTTGAATCCATATGATTTCATCTCCTTTGGTTGATATAATTGATATTGTCTCTTTTAAAACATGATTTTATTGATATCAAGAAATAAAAGTTCTTGCACACCAAAAAAAAAGAAATAAAAGTTCTTTATTGAGAAAAAAACGAACGTACTAATTAACGTAAATGCATGGTAAATAGGCAATAACATTATAATAAGCTCAATAATACAAACTTTATAAGAGTTTATTAAAAAAAATTGTTGGGAAATATTGAAAAAGAAGGGATGGCCTACGATGCAAGACCAATTCCTGTTTCCTACTAGTGTTGTTGAAATCTGAATACACTTTTTTCATGTTGATTAGTGATTACCCTTGGCTTCAAAGTTCAAATTAACTTTAAACTAACTTTTCCATAAATAAAGATATTTTATTCATGACGATACATATTTTATCATACAAAAACATATAAACAGTGAATTGTACCTCAATAATTTGAAGACTTTATATTTTTCCAAGTGCTTTGACTTTTAACCCTTTATTAACCATCACAAGACAAGTCAACCTTTCTTTCCCTCTAGAAGCCTTTGGCTAATTTATTAAACTTGAAAACGAACCAATTAAAAGTTACAATTCATAATTATTTGTTTATGATTTTTGACTATTATTAATAGGCTATTTCGCATGTACATTCAATTGTATTTCACTTGTTTTGCAAGGAACTAAATTATAATAAACAATACACCCAAATTGACCAACTTATCTTACACAAAAGATTAAGAGAATACGTTTATACAAGAAGGTCCAAAAAATTGTGACGCCATTTAATAAGAGGTATAGTGGGTTTTCTTGTTCCTTAATCTCAGCTGCCGTGGAAAATAAGTGTTAGTAGCAAATTTATTGAATTAAATAATAATTGTTAGATTTATAACATCCCTATCAAATCTTTGATTAAAATTTGATTTCGGGTCCACGGGACAGGCGTCATTAGGTTCAATTTTAATACTGCATGATTATTAAGTGGCTACATTTATAAATGAATTCAGTATTGTCACCGTGAGTTTGAAACTTTGTCATTTTATAAGTTGTAATCCGTTATATTTTATTACAAATTTTTCCTTAAGGAGATTAATAATAGATTAAATCGTACCTGATCCCAAAATTTTTTAATATCCATAAAATTGTTAGTGGTAAATTTTCTCCGAGGGTTGGCAAAATTTTGTTCACCAACCATAACGGAATTTACTCTCACAAATTTTCAATATCTCTACCTTTCTTTTCATCTCTTTTGGTACATATCATTAACTCCTTTCCTTTTCAAAAGACAAATGTATATTAAATAGCAAGTGATTCAGCATCCACCAAATGTGATCTTATGATTAGTGATATCTCTCTTTAGACAATTTAATTGATGGATTTGGAAAAATTATCTTTGATATAGTATATATGGATAAGTTTCTTTGGATTTACCCAAGAACGTTTAGTTCAATCACCGAATAATTAAGGACGTTAACTATTCGAATACGATGCTAGTCTTTTGTTGAATTCATGCGCTTGTTTTGATCTTTGATTTTTTAAAAGTTTACAAGTTCAAGAATATGTTTTTTTTTTTTTAATTGGTATAACAAAGAAGATGGTCTATGTCTATCCATGATAAAACTTCAATAGAATTACGATGATACATAAAATATCGACGTTTTCATGTACTTATTTAACTATATTGATCATGCACAATAGGAATTTGTGTATATAAAAATAAATTAGAATTTTTCTTAGTTAATTCACACATATCCATCACCAAACATTCGAAGTATTTGTCTCTATCTCGACAACATATTATACACTCCTTTGTACTGTACTACAAAATAAATTACTAAACAATATTGACTCTATAATGTATATATACAATACAAGTCTAATTCAATCACTATTGGTTCAAATTGGAAAAATATTGAATTCTTCTATCATTCTTGATGACCCAGTCTATATCACATGTAATAAAAGTACACATAATCGGTCTTTCTTTTCGTAAGCTGCCATGCAAGTGGGGCTGCAAGCTTTCGTAAAATCTCATGTAATAACTATATATACACACATATTAATATTAATAAATCTATATGTCGTTCCATTATTATCGAATTTAATGTATTTTGCATGTTATTTACATTATATTAGAAATGTCGTTTTCTTAATCACACTCGTAAACTGCGGATCAGATATAATCACCAAGATTAAATAATATAAAAATATAATCCACTACTTGCCAGGACATGAATCATGAGGAAAGTTCTATAGCGTGTACTATCATACAACAAATCATATTTATGCGTATACATTTACTAGAACCATAGGATGGAGGAAAAGAGATAAAAATAAATGACTGGAAATAAAATGTGATTACACAACGATCAATTTATATATGGTATACATTTCCGGGTCTAATATATATGTCTATTTTAGACAAATCTCAAAAGTGGTAAATTTAGAATTAGATGCAAATCATGATCTTTCAACTTAAAACTCGTTCATATTCATTAAATTACTATTTTTTTTTTTAATATAGCATCCCTAATGGAATGTAAAATATTTATTTTGAAGTTAGATGAGCATAGCCTAATTAATCAAGATTAGAGGGGGAAAAATTAATTACAACAAAAAATGGATAATAGAGACTAGAGAGGATGAGAGAAAGAGTCAAAGAGTGGCGGGCGGCTAAGAAAACATTATAAGTTAATAACTTATGAGTTTTATGATTAGGAAAATTATAATAAAACTTCTTGTCAAAAAGTAAAATTATAAGAAAACTAAAGATATTTCTCTGTCAAATAATAAATGGTATTGAATCTCTAGATTCCGATGTAGGAGCAAGACAAAGGAGAAAAACATTAGTCTCCCCCTTCTCTGTCATTTCTTAACTCTACTAATATTTTATCACATAATTTATCATCCAATTTTCCAATTCCATAAAGTCACTTTTTGATTCATATTTATTTTAATTCCCTACTTTTGACATCTTCCATCACATGAAGGACTATCTCCTCCAGCTATTATATACTCTCTCTCCTTTATTTTTTCTCCATTCACATATAATTTTCACCTTTACATATATTTCCATGTATGTGTATATATAAACCTCTCACACACGCACCATCATACACCATCCTCCTCCTTCTCTTTATCATCATTATAATTGAGAGAGAGAGAAGAGAAAGAGATATATATACAGTAAGACCAAGATCAAGAATCAAGAAGGTTATCAAAAAAAAGATCAAGAATCAAGAAGATGGGAAGAGCACCGTGTTGTGATAAGGCCAACGTGAAGAAAGGGCCTTGGTCTCCTGAAGAAGACGCCAAACTCAAAGATTACATCGAGAATAGTGGCACGGGAGGCAATTGGATCGCTTTGCCTCAAAAGATTGGTATATACTTAAAACTCACTTTTGATTTAAAATTCGCACCGAGTTTCCAAGACGAACGTGTATAATGTGTGTTTATATTTATATATACATGGTATAGGTTTAAGGAGATGTGGGAAGAGTTGCAGGCTTAGGTGGCTCAACTATTTGAGACCAAACATCAAACATGGTGGCTTCTCCGAGGAAGAAGACAACATCATTTGTAACCTCTATGTTACTATTGGTAGCAGGTATATACTATACTCTATCATATGCATGGAGGAATATTATTAATTGACACACTTACATATTCTTGACTTAGAGACTCACTATGTAGCTTTGTTTAATTGTAGGTGGTCTATAATTGCTGCACAATTGCCGGGAAGAACGGACAACGATATCAAAAACTATTGGAACACAAGGCTGAAGAAGAAGCTTCTTAACAAACAAAGGAAAGAGTTCCAAGAAGCGCGAATGAAGCAAGAGATGGTGATGATGAAAAGACAACAACAAGGACAAGGACTAGGACAAGGTCAAAGTAATGGTAGTACGGATCTTTATCTTAACAACATGTTTGGATCATCACCGTGGCCATTACTACCACAGCTTCCTCCTCCTCATCATCA